GAGTACGAGAGAGGCGAGAGGAGACAGAGAGACAGAGAGAGAGAGACAGAGGAGAGAGAGAGAGAGGAGAGAGAGAGAGACAGAGAGAGAGAGAGAGAGACAGAGAGAGAGAGAGAGAGAGACAGAGAGAGAGGAGAGAGAGAGAGACAGAGAGAGAGAGAGACAGAGAGAGACAGAGACAGAGACAGAGATACTGATGTGAGAAACATCTACCCGTTGCCTCCGATCAACTAGGGATCAATCTGCAGACCGGGGATGTGCCCTGACCAGGTTCCCTCGGCCTTTGGCTCATAGGGTGCCGCTCCAACCAGTGAGCCACCCGGCCAGGGTTGCTCAAGTCTTTTTTTTATTTTTAATATCTTTTATCGATTTTTACAGGGAGGAAGAGAGAGGGACAGACAGTTAGAAACATTGACGAGAGAGAATCATCGATCAGCTGCCTCCTGCACACCTCCCACTGGGGATGTGCCCACAACCAAGGTACATGCCCTTGCCCGGAATCGAACCCGGGACCCTTCAGTCTGCAGGCCGACGCTCTCTCCACTGAGCCAAACCGGTTCGGGCCAATTAAGCCTTTTTAAAAAAAAATATTTTTTATTGATTTTTTATGGAGAGGAAGGGAGAAGGATAAAGAACCAGAAACACCGATGAGAGAGAGACATCAATCTGCTGCCGGGGATGTGCCCACAACCAATGTACGTGCCCTTGACCGGAATCGAACCCGGGACCCTTCAGTCCGCAGGCCGACGCTCTATCCACTGAGCCACACCGGTCAGGTCTGCTTAAACCTTTTAATCGCCGTTATTGCCGCCGCCGCTGCTGCTGCTGCTGGGACTGTTCTTTTCATGCCGAGCTGGGAAGGTGCAGGCCCGGCCGGGTGGCTCAGCGGTTCAGTGTGAACCAGGAGGCTCCCTCCCGTGGGGGGAGGGGGGGGCCGGCAGGAGGCAGCCACCCAGGATCCTCCCCGTCACTGATGTTCCCCTCTCCCTCTCCCTTCCTCTCCGCGATCAGTAAAAAGATATGTTTCTGAAAGTTGGGCTGAGATCAGGGAGGGAGGTAGAGTTTGAACCTGCACTTGAACTTGAACTTGAACGGGAATGAAAACACCCCTTGAAGGCGCCTCCCGCTGCCCGCCAGGGGGCGCCAGAGGCCGGGCGCGGGTTTGGGGAGGGAGGGGCCCTCGTCCCGCCCCCGCCCTCCCGCCCCTCCTCCTGGCCGCGGCCCCACCCGGCTCAGACGCTCCGGACCGACCGCGAGCTCAGCCGCTCCGCGGGCGCCTCCGACCCGGGACCCCCGCCCCCAGCCCGGCCCGGCCGCTGCGCCCCTCGGTGAGTGCCCCCCTCTCCCAGCCCCGATGAGCCCGCCTGGCTCCCCATGAGCCCCTGCTCCCCCGAGACCCCCAGTCCCCGCCTGCAGCGGGCACGGCCTCCCTGACACCGGCCCGCCACGCCCCAGCGCCCCCAGTCTGTACCAGTCCCCCCACCGCTCCCCGTCCCCTCCAGCCGCTCTCAGTCCCCCTCCCAGTCCTCCCAGGGGGGAGATCCCGTCTCCGGGGCTCCCTCCCCGCCCTCCTCCTTCTGGGTCCTGCCTGGCCCTCCTAGCACCCCAAAGTTCCTCTCCCTCCTCACCAACCCATCGCCGTCCCGCCGCCAGCACCCTTCCAGCCACGTCCCCCCGCCCCACCCTCCCCCGGCCCCCTCCCTCCGCCGACAGCCCGGCCCCAGCTCCGGCCTCTTCGTCACCTCTCCTCCCCGACGTCTCCTTAAAAAAGAAAAGTCGTTACGAGCTGATGGGTTGTTAAACATACTTGATTTGCGGTTATTTTTTTACATGTGTGTTGCTTCTCAGCGAGAAGAAGGGGGAGGGAGGGAGGGAGGGAGGGAGAGACACGTCGATGAGAGAGAAACCGATTGGCTGCCTCCTGCACAGGCCCCACGGGGGAATCGAGCTTGACCGGGATTCGAACTGGCAACCTCACGGTGCCTGGGAGGATGCTCCGTCCACGGAGCCGCGCCGGGCGGATCTGCAATTATTGTTGATGCTCCAACTGTCCAGTCTTTAGCCGGGAGGGGGCGGGGGGAGTCCCTTCAGGCCGGGGCCTCTGTCCCCATGACCTGCCCCGTCCGTCCGCCTCTGAGCACCTCCCCACCGTCCGTCTGATCCAGGCTTCCCTGCTTGCCCTGCTCCGGCCCCAGCTTCAGCCGTGTCCCTAAGGAGCCCTGCTTTCCTCCGGAGGGAGATGATATTTAAAGTAAGGTGACCAGATTCCAAAAAAAATCGGGACTTTTTTAAAACGCCGCGGGAAAATGGGACAAGTTGTTTAAAATCGGGACTGTCCCGCCTAAAGCGGGACGTCTGGTCACCTTACTAGCAGGCATCCTCAAACTTTTTAAAGTGGGGGCCAGATCACGGTCCCTCAGAGAGCTGGAGGGGCCGGACTATATGAACTACTAATTCCTACTGTAACACCTCGGCTGCGCTCACTGCCCAAAAAGCCTGGCGGGCCGGCTCAGACTCCTCTGCGGGCCGCATGTGGCCCGCGGGCCGTAGTTTGAAGACCCCTGTTAGAGGCTCCAGTGTGACGGAAGGCTGGCTGTGTGCAAAGATCAGTAACGTCCTAAGCATCTACTCTGACGGACCAGGGAGCGGGGCGGAGGCGGAGACACCGGGAAGGAAGGCAGGGACATCACTACAGATCCCACAGAGAGCGGGGGCGGGGGCTGCTCGTGGCTGCTGGGTTGGAAGTTATTTCTCTTGCTAACTTTTTATTTTTTAAAATATGTATTTTATTGATGTTTTTACAGAGAGGAAGGGAGAGGGATAGAGAGCTAGAAACATCGATCAGCTGCCTCCTGCACACCCCCCACCGGGGATGTGCCCGCAACCAAGGTACATGCCCCTGACCGGAATCGAACCCGGGACCCTTCAGTCCGCAGGCCGACGCTCTATCCACTGAGCCACACCGGTTTCGGCTCTCTTCCTCATCTTTTAGGCCTGTGATGAGAGTGCAGGCTCTGAGGTCGGGTTGCCTGGAGTCGCAGCTTGGGCACCTTCTATCGATAGCTTGTTCGGCAAGTTACTGCTACCGTTGTAAGCCCCCACTTCCCGGTCGGAAAAGTGAGGATGATAACAGCCCGGGGTCCTACCCAGCTGTTAGGAAGCTGAGGGTGGAGCAGCGCCTGGCATGCAGGGGTCATACATGTTGAGCTGTTCTTCCGAATGCCCAAGGCCCCTCACGACCTGGGCACACCTGGGCGACGGCTCAGCTTTCTCTCCCACCCCTCCTCCCCCTCCTCCCCCTCCTCCTCCTCCTCCTCCTCCTCGGGCCCCGGGGTCCAGCCAGCCACCCGGCTCACGCATGTCACAGCTTCGGGCCTCCTCTCACACCACCCTCTCTGCCTAGAGGCCCCTGACAGGCCCACTCTGCAGGGAGCAGCTCAACACTCAACCCAGCCCTGGCCGGTGTTGCTCAGTGGATAGAGCGTCGGCCTGCAGACTGAAGGGTCCCGGGTTCGATTCCAGTCAAGAGCATGTGCCTTGGTTGTGGACACATCCCCAGTACAGAGTGTGCAGGAGGCAGCTGGTGGATGTTTCCCTCTCATCGATGTTTCTAACTCTCTCCCTCTCGCTCTCCCTCCCTCTTTATAAAAAAATCAATAAAATATATATTTTTTAAAATCAGCCCAGCCAGAGCTGGCGAGTCCGTGGCCGGCTTGTCACATCCCCCTCTGGGGCCACACGGCCACTGCCTGGCATTTCCCGGCATCACTCCTCACGGGCTCTGAGTGGGGGTGGGAGAGGCGGGGGAGGTGGTCTCTGGCCGGATTCTGGGCCCACCATTCCTGGCACATGGAGAGATGTCAGTGTCCATGTGTGAGGACATGGGAGGGGAGAAGAAAAGCACAAAGGAGCCCAAACCGGTGTGGCTCAGTGGCTAGAGCGTCGGCCTGGGGACTGAGGGTCCTGGGTTCGATTCCGGTCAGGGGCATGTACCTTGGTTGCGGGCACATCCCCAGTAGGGAGTGTGCAGGAGGCAGCTGGTCGATGATTCTCTCTCATCAACGTTTCAAGCTCTCTATCTCTCTCCCTTCCTCTCTGTAAAAAAAAACAATAAAATATATATATTTTTTAAAAACAAAAAGCGTGAAGGAATCCATTTCCTCTGGGCATTCTCTGCACCCTCCCCTTCCCCTTCCTTGGTCTCCACACCAACCCCCCTTCCCCATCATCCCGCTGTCAGAACGGAACCATCCATCCCCTTCATTCTCCAGCCGTCACCTCCCCATGCACCCTCCGTGCTCGCTGCTCCTCCCTCTGCCCGTTCCCCCCTCCTCCCCTGCCCGGTCCACCTCTCAGCTCCCTACCTTCCCCTCCTCCAGCAGGCAGTCCTCCATCCACCCCCTCTCCTTCTCCTGCAGGCAGCCGTCCGCCCTGTGCATCTCCCTCAGCCCAGCGAGCCCAGTGGTTAGCGCTCGGCGGGTGGCGCCCAGCCCGGAGGGGAGCGAGCGTGCGGCCGCCATGTTCAGCTGGCTGAAGCGCGGGGGGGCGCGGGGCCAGCGGCCCGAGGCCATCTGCACGGTGACCTCGGCGCTGAAGGAGCTGTACCGCACCAAGCTGCTGCCGCTGGAGGAGCACTACCGCTTCGGCGACTTCCACTCGCCGGCCCTGGAGGACGCCGACTTCGACAGCAAGCCCATGGTGCTGGTGGCCGGCCAGTACAGCACGGGCAAGACCAGCTTCATCCAGTACCTGCTGGAGCAGGAGGTGCCCGGCTCGCGCGTGGGGCCCGAGCCCACCACCGACTGCTTCGTGGCCGTCATGCACGGCGACACCGAGGGCACCGTGCCCGGCAACGCCCTCATCGTGGACCCCGAGAAGCCCTTCCGCAAGCTCAACCCCTTCGGGAACACCTTCCTCAACAGGTGCGCCTCGGGGGGCCTCTCCCGGCCCCGGGGCCCCCCTCCGTCCCCTCCCCGCCTGGGGGTCTCCCCTGTGCAGCCCCAGCTCCTTTCTCGCTCCCTGGACCCTCCCAGGCCGGCCTCAGCTCTTCCCCAGGGGAGCCGGCCTGCCCTTCTGCTGGGCGGCCTTGGGCCAGTGGCTTGACCTCTCTGGGCCTCCCTTACCCTCATCCGGCAAATGGGGATCACCGGCCGAAACCGGTTTGGCTCAGTGGATAGAGCGTCGGCCTGCGGCCTGAAAGGTCCCGGGTTCGATTCCGGTCAAGGGCATGGATCTTGGTTGCAGGCACATCCCCAGTTGGGGAGGGAGGGTGCAGGAGGCAGCTGGTCGATGTTTCTCTCTCTCTCTCTCTCTCTCTCTCTCTCTCTCTCTCTCTCTCTCTCTCTCGTCAGTGTTTCTAGCTCTCTATCCCTCTCCCTTCCTCTCTGTAAAAAGTCAATAAAATACTTTTTTTTTTAATGGGGATCACCGCAGGCCCCACGTCACAGGATTGTCTGAGTTACAGTCATGAAGGTGCTGAGAGCAGCTCCCGGCACAAAGAACGTGCTCAGGACACGCCAGCTCCGAATTTTTAAAAATAGTTTTTGTTCTCTGTCCCACCTCCCTTTTCCCTTTACACCTTCCCTTCCCTGAACACGATGTGAGCCCGGGGCAGCCCTGGCTGCCCCTCCTGTGTGTCCGCTCCTCCTGCCGCTCCCTGCGCTGACCCTGTCCCTCCTCCCACCCAGGTTCATGTGCGCCCACCTCCCCAACCAGGTCCTGGAGAGCATCAGCATCATCGACACCCCCGGCATCCTGTCGGGTGCCAAGCAGAGGGTGAGCCGCGGTGAGTGAGGCTGGGTCCCCGGGTCCGAGGGAGGAGAGACTGGGGCCTGGACCCCTGGGTCTGAGGGAGGAGGGGCTGGGGGCCTGGACCCCCGGGTCCGAGGGAGGAGGGGCTGGGGCCTGGATTCCTGGGTCTGAGGGAGGAGGGGCTGGGGGCCTGGACCCCTGGGTCCGAGGGAGGAGGGGATGGGGGCCTGGATTCCTGGGTCTGAGGGAGGAGGGGCTGGGGCCTGGACCCCTGGTCTGAGGGAGGAGGACTGGGGGCCTGGGTCTGAGGGAGGAGGGCAGGGGGCCTGGGTCTGAGGGAGGAGGGCTGGAGGCCTGGGTCTGAGAGAGGAGGGGCTGGGGGCCTGGGTCTGAGGGAGGAGGGGCTGGGGGCCAGGACTCCTGGGTCTGAGGGAGGAGGGGCTGGGGGCCTGGACCCCTGGGTCTGAGGGAGGAGGGGCTGGGGGCCAGGACTCCTGGGTCTGAGGGAAGAGGGGCTGGGGGCCTGGGTCTGAGGGAGGAGGGGGCTGACTACGCGGACTCCCAGGTCGGAGGGAGGAGGCCGGTCCCTGCTGGGACTTGCCCGGTGTCGCTGCCCGGAATGGAAGGAGCGGGTGGAGAGGCGGGAGTCTCCCGCGCTGGCACACGTTGCGGTGGGGGAGGCGGTGGGGGAACACGTGTGAACAGGCCTCCGCTGCACGTCTGGGCCCGAAGGACCGAGAGGGAGTGATCAGGAGAGAGAGGCAGAGACAGAGAGAGAGGCAGAGACAGAGGAGAGGCAGAGACAGAGGAGAGGCAGAGACAGAGGGAGGCAGAGACAGAGGAGAGGCAGAGACAGAGAGGGGTGCAGAGACAGAGGGGAGGCAGAGACAGAGAGAGAGGCAGAGACAGAGGAGAGGCAGAGACAGAGAGAGAGGCAGAGACAGAGAGAGAGGCAGAGACAGAGGAGAGGCAGAGACAGAGAGAGAGGCAGAGACAGAGAGAGAGGCAGAGACAGAGGGAGGCAGAGACAGAGGAGAGGCAGAGACAGAGGGAGGCAGAGACAGAGGGAGGCAGAGACAGAGAGGGGTGCAGAGACAGAGAGAGAGGCAGAGACAGAGGGAGGCAGAGACAGAGAGAGAGGCAGAGACAGAGAGAGAGGCAGAGACAGAGAGGGGTGCAGAGGGGAGGCAGGGAGGCAGCAGAAGGCTCGGAGGGGAACGGCGGGCCCTGGGAGCGCCTGGCCGGCCAGCCGGGCCGCTGATGGGTGGGGAGGGGCTGGGAGGGACCTGGGCGCGGGCCAGGGCGGCCTGGAATCTATAAACAGCTGCGCAGGGGGAGCGGGGGGCGGGGGGCGGATTCCAGCGGGGCCTCCGGGGGGAGCCCGCCCCGGAGCCGGGAGCCCGGAGCGCGTTCCGCATCTGCGCCCCGCACCCCGCACCCGCCCGGCCCCCCTGCCCCCCGCAGCCCGGAGGCCGGGAACTGGGGCAAAGGAGGCGGCCTGTGGGCCAGAGGGGACCCGGAGGCGGCGCGGGGCGGGGAGGGGTACGGGCCCGGGCGGCGGCCCAGCGGGCGTCCCCGGGGAGGAGGCGGCGCAGCTGCGGAGCGATCCGAGGGCGCGCCGCCAGCCCCGGGGGTGGGGGTGGGGGGAACGGCCGGGGTCTCCGGGAGGATGGAACCTAGCGGGTCTGCAACCAGAGCTGGGGTGCCAGGGGGGCCCAGAGGCCATGGGGGGTGGGGAGGAGAAGGAGGGTCCCTTCCCTGGCGGGGGGCGGAGCGCGCGCCTGGGGTCCTGTGCCCGCACCTGGCTGACGCTGGGTGCCCCGGAGAGCTGGGGGGACTGTGGGAGGTGAGGGTGGGGGTGAGGAGCTTTGGGGGTGGGGGGCTGGGGGGGCTATGGGGGAGGGGCTGTGGGGGACGATGGGGACCGTGTGTGAGGGTCTCTGTGCACAGTGTGAGCTGGGGCGTGCAAGGGAGAGTGCGTGCGGGTGCGCCTCTGTGGGACTGTGTGTGTGTCTGCGGGCGCCTGTGCGTCTGGGAGGTGGCGGGTCTTGTGTGACCTCGGATGGCTGTGTGGGTCCCGGGTTTATGGGCAAGAGTGTGTCTGGGCGTCTGCACCTTGGTGTGTGTGGCCAGTGCGTGCTGAGCACACGTGTGTGAGTGCATGTAATATCTGTGAGTGTGTGCGTGTGATTGTAGCGTAATGAGAGCTCTGGCCGGGTTCAAATCTGGACTCCACTATTTAAAAAAAAAACCACAAAAAAACTGTGGGACCTTGGGCGAGCTACGTAACCTCCCCGTGCCTCAGTTTCCTCATCTGTGAAATGGGAATAGTAAGAATAGTGATCAGCCTCCTGGTTGCACGGAGAGTTACAATGGAATGCCAGAATGTGCAGAGTGCCAGGCCGGCGCGGCTCAGTTGGTTGAGCGCCTACAGGAGGTCGGACTCCTGGGTCAGGGCACATACCCGGGTTTCGGGTTTGATGCCCAGCTGGGGTGCATACCGGAGGCAACTGATCAATGATTCTCTCTCACATCCATGTTTCTGTCTCTCTCTCCCTCTTCCCTTCTTCTCTCTCTAAAATCAATAAAGATGTGTTTGCCCTGCGAAAACCGGTGTGGCTCAGTGGATAGAGCCTCGGCCTGCGGGCTGAAGGGTCCCAGGTTCGATTCCGGTCAAGGGCATGTACCTTGGTTGCGGGCACATCCCCAGTGGGAGGTGTGCAGGAGGCACCTGGTCGATGTTTCTCTCTCATCGATGTTTCTAGCTCTCTATCCCGCTCCCTTCCTCTCTGTAAAAGAGTCAATAAAATATGTTTAAAAATATGTTTTGAAAGCACCGTGCGGAGCCCCGGAAGCAGTGGGCGCACAGTAGGTGCCACGGGAGAGCTAATGTGACTGCTTTTCCCGGGGAGCGCGCAGGCGCCCGGCCTGCCCCTGCCACGTCTCCGCTCCCACGGTGACTCAATCTCCCTCCGCCTCCCCTCCGGCGTGAGCCACACTTTCCAGATCCGGGCTGTGTGTGTGTGTGTGTGTGTGTGTAGGGACGGGAGGGAGGGGGCCCCAGCTGCCGTCCCTCTGGTGACCCGGCCCTTCCTCCCCCCAAACAATGTCCCCCGCCCGCCCCTCTCCGTCAGGCCCAGCTGCGCAGGAGCGGCTTCCTCCGCGGAGGCTGGGCACTCCTCCGGGCCTCCCCTCGGTGTGTTTGAGGCAATCCCTTCTCTCTGTGCCTCCTTGTTCTCCTCTGGAAACGGGGGGGCATACGCGTGCGGGTCTTCCCGGGGAGGCGGGGAGGCTCAGCGGCTTAGGGAGCAGAGCCTGGAGTGGCCTCAGGGCGTCAGCTGTGGCTCCCCGTTCTGCCGGTTCACGCCCGTCCCCCAGGGGCCCCTCCGCAGCCCCTCCTCTGAGGGCCCTCCCGGGCGCCCCAAGCGGGCTCAGGCACCCCCTCCCCGGCCTGACCAGCACGGGGACAGGTCTGTGTCCCAGTGGACCGTGAGCCCGGGAAGGGCGGGACTGGGCTGCCTGAGCGAGCTTGTCCCCGCACAGAGCAGGCGTGAGTGACACCCTCCAGGCCTGGCGTGACTCACCCCATGCACTCAGCGCTGCTGTAGGGCTTTGTTTGTTTATTTATTTTATTTATTTTATTAATTTCAGAGAGGAAGGGAGAGGAAGAGAGAGAGAGAGAGAGAGAGAGAGAGAGAGAGAGAGAGAGAGAGAGAGAGAGAAACAACAGTGAGGAGAATCATTGATCGTCTGCCTCCTGCACGCCCCCTACTGGGGATGGAGCCCACAACCCGGGCATGTGCCCTTGACCAGAATCGAAACCGGGATCCTTCAGTCCGCAGGCGGATGCTCTATCCACTGAGCCAAACCAGCCAGGGCAGTGGTTGGCAAACTCATTTGTCCACAGAACCACATATCCACACTACTACGACTGAGATGTCTTTTGAGAGCCAACTTTTTTAAACTTAAACTCCTTCTAGCACCACTTCTTCAACATAGACTCACCCAGGCGATGGTATTTTGTGAAAGAGGCACACACTCAAGGGGCCAAAGAGCCACATGTGGCTCTCGAGCCGCGGTTTGCCGACCATGGAGCTAGGGCAACACTGCAGTATTTTATTTTATTTATTTATTTTTAAATATATTTTTATTGATTACAGAGAGCCAAAGGAGAGGGAGAGAGAGATAGAAACATCAATGATGAGAATCATTGATTGGCTGCCTCCTGCACACATCCCACTGGGTATCGAGCTGGCAACCTGGACATGCGCCTTGACTGGGACTCAAACTGTGACTTCCTGATTCCTAGGTTGACACTCAACCACTGAGCAACACCAGCTGGGCAAGAAGGCAAGGGTTTTTTTGTTTTGTTTTGTTTTGTTTTGTTTTGTTTTGTTTTTAAAAAATATATTTTATTGATTTTTTACAGAGAGGGATAGAGCGTTAGAAACATCGATGAGAGAGAAACATCAACCAGCTGCCTTCTGCACACCCCCCACTGGGGATGTGCTCACAACCCAGGTACTTGCCCTTGACCGGAATCAAACCCGGGACCCCTCAGTCTGTAGGCTGAGGCTCTATCCACTGAGCCAAACCGGTTTCAGCAACACTGCAGTATTTTAACAACCTTTACACCCAAACCAAGGCATACCACTAGCATCTGCTGAATGAGGCATGAATGAATGAATGAATGAAAAAGGGAAGGGCTGATGGCCCCTGTCCCTAGATGGCTTGAAGGACTGGGGCCAGAGTGATGGGGGCTGCATGAAGCAGGGGCAGTGGGGTGCTCTGAGTCCTTGGCTATTTCACATAGACAGCGGTTCTTTTTTACTTTATTATATTTTTAAAGTAGGCCTACAATTCATATATATATTTGATTTTATACAGAGAGGAAAGGAGAAAAGAAGAGGGATAGAGAGCCAGAAACATCAATGAGAGAGAAACATGACCAGCTGCCTCCTGCACACCCCCCACCAGGGATGTGCCCACAACCAAGGTACATGCCCCTGACCGGAATCGAACCTGGGACCCCTCAGTCCGCAGGCCGAGGCTCTATCCACTGAGCCAAACTGGTTTCAGCTAGACAGCGGTTCTGATGGTCAACCCAAAGGGCTGGGGCCTCGGATGGCTGGGGGGGGGGGGGGTGCTGACCTTTGCCCCCTCCCCCTCCCCCCGCCCCCAGGCTATGACTTCCCCGCGGTGCTGCGCTGGTTCGCGGAGCGCGTGGACCTCATCATCCTGCTGTTCGACGCGCACAAGCTGGAGATCTCGGACGAGTTCTCCGAGGCCATCGGCGCGCTGCGCGGCCACGAGGACAAGATCCGCGTGGTGCTCAACAAGGCGGACATGGTGGAGACGCAGCAGCTGATGCGCGTGTACGGCGCGCTCATGTGGGCGCTGGGCAAGGTGGTGGGCACGCCCGAGGTGCTGCGCGTCTACATCGGCTCCTTCTGGGCGCAGCCGCTGCTCGTGCCCGACAACAGGCGCCTGTTCGAGCTGGAGGAGCAGGACCTGTTCCGCGACATCCAGGGCCTGCCGCGCCACGCCGCGCTGCGCAAGCTCAACGACATGGTGAAGCGGGCGAGGCTGGTGCGGGTGAGCGGCCGGGGGCGCAGGGAGGGAAGGGGGGATTGGGGGAGGTTGGGGGGGGCAGGGGCGCCTCCAGCCTGTCCCCTGACCCCCTCGTGGCTGCCAGTCTGCACTGATCAGCTCTTTGGTCAGCTGTGCCATCTAAGAGAGTTCGCAGACTGGGCGTTCTGGCGCTCAGGGCACTGGCGGGAGCAGGTTTGCATGGAGAATTGTGCCTTTTCCATTGCGCGCCTGTCTCTGTCTCTTTTCTTTTCTTAAAAAAATATATTTTATTGATTTTTCAGAGGAAGAGAGAGGGAGAGAGAGTTAGAAACATCGATGAGAGAGAATCATCCATCAGCTGCCTCCTGCACCACCACCCCCTCCTTCCACTGGAGATGTGCCCGCAACCAAGGTACATGCCCTTGACCGGAATGGAACCCGGGACCTTCCAGTCCGCAGACCGACGCTCTATCCACTGAGCCACACCGGTCAGGGCTGCCCCCCCCCCCCCTTTTTATGAAAATAACACCCCCCTAGTCTCTTTCCCCCCGCCCTGCCCTGCAAGTCCTGCTTTATCCCTCCCGCAGTTTTCTTCATGGGTCACACTGCCTGGTCCGCAGTGACCCAGTCAGGGGGCTCTGGTGTGTCCTGCTTTCTCCGCCGCACACATTTAAGCCCCACAGAAACAGGGGTCTTTCTCCGAACTCGTTCCCTCCTGCACCCCCAGCGCCAGGAACAGAGCTGGTGCTCAGAACACATCTACACTGAGCGGCCAGGTTATTATGATCTCTGAACGCAGAGATCATAATATCTACATCTATGCACTGGCCACTCAGTGCATAGATATAGATACAGATGTAGATGTAGATGTAGATGTAGATGTAGGTATAGGTATAGGTATAGATATAGATATAGATATAGATATAGATATAAATATAGATATTAGAGTCCTGGTGCCTAAATTCGTATATGGGTGAGGGTCCAGCCAGCCTGGCCAGGGGGAGGGGGCATGGATGTTGGCTGGTCTGCCTGCTGGTCGAACTCCTGGTCGAGGGGACAATTTGCATATCAGCCTTTTATTTTGTTTTATTTTAAATATATTTTATTGATTATTTTTACAGAGAGGAAGGGAGAGAGATAGAGAGAAACATCGATGAGAGAGTCATCGACCAGCTGCCGCTTGCACACCCCCTACTGGAGATGTGCCCACAACCAAGGTACATGCCTCTGACCGGAATCCAACCCAGGACCCTTCAGTCCACAGGCTGACGCTCTATCCACTGAGCCAAACCGGTTTCGGCTATTAGCCTTTTATTATATAGGATACACACTGAGTGGCCACATGATTATGCATTCAGAGATCATAATCATCTGGCCACTCAATGTATTGACCGAATGATGCTGAACAAACACATTTAACAAAACCTCTTCTGCTCCTGGCCCTGGGCCTGCCTGGTGGTGCGGGGCAGTCCCACCCCCAGACCGTGAAGACCCAGCACAGTTAGAGCTGGGGCTGGGGAGCCCGGGGGAACCCTGGAAGGCTTCCTGGAGGAGGGGGCACCCGAGCTGCAGACTGGAGGCTGAGGACCAGGCGGGGAAGGGGTTTAGACCGTGGGAGCGGCGGGCACCTGGGCTGGGGAGGAGCACATGGCCAGCTCGGGGACGAGGGAAAATGTCCGTTGAGCCTGGACAGGCAGTACTGACTCTGAGGCGGAGTGGCTTGGGAGTCAGAGCACCCAGGGCCTGGCCAGGAATGCGTGCTTTGCCCCAAGACTCTGGGGAGCCACGGAGGGTGCAGTCTTAGGGAGGGACGGGGTCAGACCAGCTGCCTTCAGCGGGGTGGATTCCGGGCGGTGAGACCGGGCACAGACCAGGCTGGGTGTGAGGAGCTGGGAGGAGCCTGGATCAGGATGGGGCCATGGGAGGTGAGGAGGGGGGAGGAGGGAGAGCACTGGTTTCTGGGTGATTTTGGAAGCCAAATGGAACATTCGTGGGGGCGGCTGCCAGGATGGAGGTGGGGCAGGAAGCTGGGCAAGCAGGGAGGCCCTGGAGGTGAGGGAGCCAGAGCTTAAGGAGCAGCCAGAGTGGGTGAGTCAGACCCCCATCCCTCCCCCACCCCAGGAATCCTCCTTGGGAGGGCGGGGCGCCGTGTGGAGCCTCAGGACCCACCTTTCTTCCCTGCTCTGCCCAGCTCTGGACTCCCCCTCTCTCCCTGTATCCGTACTTCCTCCTCTTCCTCAGCTCTCCCTTGGTCTTTCTCTTCCTCTCTCCTTCCCTCATTCTTTCTCCCTTTCTCTCCCTCTCGCCTAGCGTCTCTCATTCACTCTCCTCTTTCCCTCTTTCCTCATCTCTTTATCTATTTATACTTTTTATTGGTTTCAGAGAGGACGGAAGAGGGAGAGAGAGAGATAGAAACATCAATGCTAAGAGAGAATCGTCGATGGGCTGCCTCCTGCCCACCTCACACTGGGGATCAAGCCGGCAACCTGGGCCTGTGCCCTGACCGGAATCGAACCCTCACCTCCTGGTTCATAGATTGACACTCAACCACTGAGCCACGTTGGCTGGGCTCCCCTCTCTTATTATCACTCCTTTCTTCGGTCTCTCTCCTCTTCCTCCTTTATCTATCTATCTATCTATCTATCTATCTATCTATCTATATCTATCATCTATCTATCTATCTATCATCTATCTATATCTATCTATCTATAATCTATCTATATCTATCTATCTATCTATATCATCTATCTATCTATCTATAATCTATCTATATCTATCATTTATCTATCTATCTATCTATCTATCTATCTATATCTATCATCTATCTATCTATCTATAATCTATCTATCTATATCTATCTATCTATCTATCTATCCTCTCTCTCTCTCTCTCTCTCTCTCTCTCTCTCTCTCTCTCTTCTACCATCATCTGCTCCCTCCTTCTCTGTCTTCCTCCCAGTCTCAGTCTCTCTGGAGCTCCAGACACCCTCAGGGAGGCAGAGCGGCAGGAGCCGGAGCCCAGGCCGCGGGACGGAGGGACAGGGCCGGGCCGGACACCTGGAGCCCCGCCGGACAGGAGGCGGCTCCGGAAACCGGGACAAACCCCGGAGTCCGGGCCCCGCGCCCCGGCCCACCCCGCCCTCCCACCTTATCTCTTCCTGGCACCTTCGCCCGCTTCCTCTCTGGAAAAGCCATCAGCTCCCACCGCCTCCCAAGGCCGGTCCCCAGGCCCCGCCCCCGCGCCCCATTGGCCCCGCGCCACAGGCACGCCCCCTCCGAGCCACACCCCTGCCCCATTGGCCCCTGTCCCTAGGGACACCTCCTCCTCCTGCGCATCCATCCATCCTGGCCCCCAGGGCTGCCCCAGGCCCAGGGTCCCTGTGACCAAGGTCCCCTGCTCAGGCCCGGCGTGGGATTCTGCGCTGTCAGTCCCATCATCAAGCATGCTACCCGGCAGGGTGGCTCCATGGGTGAGCGTGTCCCCCTGGTGCACCTAGGGTGCGGTGCCACCTCCCCTCAGGACACAGACCTGCATCAGCCAATGAGTGCATGAATCCATCTCTCTCTAAACAGCAAATAGATGTCTCTCTCCCTTCCTCTCTCTCTCCAAAATCAACCAAATCAGCCCTAAACCGGTGTGACTCAGTGGATAGAGCGTCGGCCTGCAGACTGAGGGGTCCCAGGTTCGATTCCGGTCAAGGGCATGTACCTTGGTAGCGGGCACATCCCCAGTGGGGGGTGTGCAGGAGGCAGCTGATCGATGTCTCTCTCTCATCCATGTTTCTAGCTCTCTATCTCTCCCTTCCTCTCCATAAAAAATCAATAGAATATATTTTTTTAAAAATCAATCAAATCAAATAAAATGCTCTCATCCTAGCCCGTGTGGCTCAGTGGATAGAGCATTGGCCTGTGGACCAAAGGGTCCCGGGTTCAACTCCAGCCAAGGGGACATACCTGGGTTGCAGGCTCCTCCCTGGCTGGGGCCCTGGTGGGGTGCGTGCAGGAGGCAACCAACCGATGTGTTTCTCTCACTGGACGTTTCCCTCCGTCTTTCCCTCTCTCTGAAAATCAAGGGGAAAATATCCTCGGGTGCGGGTTAAAAAAAAAGTTCTCCCTCAAGGGCACAGAGCCCTCTGGACTCTTTTTGGCAGCCCCCTCCTCCCTCCAGGGTGTGGATGAGTCCTCAGCTCTGTTCTTCCCGAACCAGGAGGCCAAGGTCTTGGGAGGGGCTGAGTCTGGAGAGGCCCTGAACCTTCAGACTGCGCTGCTCTGAGCCGCCCAGGGACAAGAACGAACTATCTATCTATCTATCTATCTATCTATCATCTATCTATCTATCATCTATCTATCTATCATCCATCTATCATCCATCTATCATCTTCATCATCTATGTATCTATCTATCTTACCTATCATCTTCATCTATGTATCTATCTATCTATCTATCTATCTATCATCCATCTATCATCCATCTATCATCTTCATCATCTATGTATCTATCTTATCTATCATCTTCATCTATCTATTTATCATCTACCTAGTATCTATCATCTTCATCTATCTATCATCTATCTATCATCCATCTATCATCTTCATCATCTATGTATCTGTCTATCTTATCTATCATCTTCATCTATCTATCTATCTATCTTATCTATCATCTTCATCTATCTGTCTGTCTCTTATCTATCATCTTCATCTATCTATTTATCATCTATCTATCTATTATCTATCATCTTCATCTATCTATCATCTATCTATTATCTATCTATCATCTTCATCTATCTATTTGTCATCTATCTATCTATTATCTATCATCTTCATCTATCTATCTCTATCCTTTCTCTCTCTCTCTCTCTCTCTCTCTCTCTCTCTCATCTACAATCATCTGCTCCCTCCTTCTCTGTCTTCCTCCCAGTCTCAGTCTCACAGTTGGTGCTCATTACTGACCTACACAGCAGGGAGCAAGCCAGATTAGATTAGATTAGAATTATTTTTTTAATCTAATATATTTTATTGATTTTGTACAGAGAGGAAGGGAGAGAGATAGAGAGTTAGAAACATCGATGAGAGAGAGTTTTCGATCAGCTGCCTCTTTCATATCCCCTACTGGGGATATGCCCGCAGCCAAGGTACATGCCCTTGACCGGAATTGAACCCGGGACCCTTCAGTCCCTAAACCGACGCTCTATCCATTGAGCCAAACCGGTCTCGGCCTAGAATTACTTTTTAAAAATATATCTTTATTGATTTCAGAGAGGAAGGGAGAGGGAAAGAGAGAGATAGAAACATCAGTGATGAGAGAGAATCATTGATCGGCTGCCTACTGGGGATGTGCTCATGACCAAGGTACATGCCCTTGACTGGAACCGAACCTGGGACCCTTGAGTCTGCAGGCTGATGCTCTATCCACTGAGCCAAACCGGCCAGGGCTAGCAAGGAACCTGCTGGAACAGGAGCCCTGGTGGCTGGAGGACAGGGGGGAGGAAGGGCAACGAGGGTGCAGAACCAGCCAGACTCACCAGAACTGTTAGCATTCTAAGCCTATGATTCATTTAATAAGTGTTTTCAAGCCGACCGTTGGGACCGGCTCCCGGTGCCGCATTCACGTTAGTCAAACACGCTCCCTCCCACCCCTGCCCCCAGCGCTCGGGGCCCCGCCCGCCCCGGGATGGGTGTCTGCACCCTCCCCTAGACGCATTGTTTCCATGTGAGCACATACGTGTCATTCTTTAGCTTCCTATTTAGAATAGGCTGCCGTGTGCTCATGGCTCGGCCCGCCTTGTTTGCTTTCTGATAACGGAGGAGCCTGCGGCTCGGAGGTCCCCCCGCGCCCTGGCTGCGGCTCCAAACATTTCTCGAGTGTTTGGGTGCACGGTGTGCCAGCGCCGAGGGCAGGGGCCCGCCCGGAGCCCCAGCCTGGTGGATGGACGGGGACAGGACAGACAGAACCGGCAGAGCAGGAACGGAATACTGCAGTGTGAGAAGCGCTGTGAGCGGAACGATCCAGGCGGAGGCGGAAAGTAACTGGAGGGCCTGTGCGAGGGGGTGACCGCCAGAGGAAGCTGCGGGAGCCCGGGCCGAGGTCCGGGCAGAGAGGGGCATGTGCAAAGGCCCTGGGGTCGGGGGTGAGCGGCATCTGGTGAAGCCAGGAAGGCAGGCGAGGAAGCCGGAGCAGCGGCCAGGGGGAGATACCGCTGGGTGAGGTGAGGTGGCAGGAGCCGAGCCAGGGAGAACAGCGCTTCCCAAGCCTTCCGCTCCCAGGACCCCGTCACGCTCTTAGAAGTGACTGAGCACCCAGAGAAGTCTGCACACGCACTGTGTCTGTGCTGACCGCGTGAGAATTCAAAACGGCGGAAACCGGTGTGGCTCAGTGGATAGAGCGTCGGCCTGTGGACTGAAAGGTCCCGGGTTCGATTCCGGTCAAGGGCATGTGCCTTGGTTGCGGACACATCCCCAGTTGGGGGTGTGCAAGAGGCAGCTGATGGATGTTTCTAACTCTCTATCCTTCTCTCTTTTTCTCTGTGAAAAATCAATAAAATATATTATAAAAAAAAGAAAGAATTCAAAACGGAGACAACGTTTACCACGTGATAGGAACGAGCCAGTAACGAATGGTTACAGAATTATTAAGTGGTCATTTATTAGAAATGTCACCGGCAGGTTTTTGATGATGTTTAATTTATATGAATAAATATCCATAGTTAATATTATATGACCATTTAAAGTAACAACACACATCAGTCAACCTAGGTAACGTGTTTCATGAAAATTAACTATTTTCTTTTTTAAAAATATATTTTATTGATTTTGTACAGAGAGGAAGGGAGAGAGATAGAGAGTTAGAAACATCGATGAGAGAGAGTCATTGATCAGCTGCCTCTTGCACACTCCCTACTGGGGATGTGCCCGCAACCAAGGTACATGCCCTTGACCAGAATCGAACCCGGGACCTTTCAGTCCCCAAGCCGACGCTCTATTCATTGAGCCAAACCGGTTTCGGTGAAAATTAACTGTTTTCGAAACAAAAAAGAGTCAGGGAGGACAGAGTGCCCATATTACATTTTAAAAAATATTTTTATTGATTTCAGAGAAGAAAGGGAGAGAAAAGGCGAGAGAGAGAGAGAGAGAGAGAGAGAGAGAGAGAGAGAGAGAGAGATCGATCGATGATGAGAGAGAATCATCGATTCGCTGCCTCCTGCATGACCCCCACTGGGGACCGAGCCCACTACTTGGGCATGTGTCTTTGACTGGAATCGAACCGGGAACCCTTCAGTCCACAGGCTAATGCTCTACCCACTGAGCCAAACTGGCCAGAGCACCTGTCCTACATTTTTGCAAATCTCTTTGCTGACTGGCTTCCCCTATCTTGCAGCCTTAAAAAAACCTCCACCATTCACTGGGGAGGAAATGAAAAGTAAAAAAAAAAAAAAAAAAAAAAAAAGAGCGTCTTATTATTATTCAAATATAGTCACACCTCAGCTCTGCTCTCCAGGCCTCCCAGCTTGCTCCTCACCCCAGTGCCCTTTCATGCCGGCACCTGTGATCAGTCATGTCTCCCAGGCAACAAACAAAGGAGAGAACGCACCACGACCAGCCAGGAAATTGTATTGTGAATTTTTTTTTTTTTTTGGCTCTTGTTGCTGCTTATTATTAGGTTTCCCCTTTTTACTGTACATTTCCTTTCCTTTCTGTTAAACGCTCATTCACATTTCATGTCTTTTCCTTTTCGAAGTGTTTATCAATTAGCCGGGACATTAGACACGCGCTGTGGGTAAGAAAGGTTGAGGCAGGGACTCATTTGGGGTCTGGGACTAATCCCATGCACATTGCTTCTAATGGGAAGAGCGACTCGGCTTTCAAACCGCCTTCTGGAAGGAATGAACTCTGATTGGCTGAACCCCTAAACGCTCTCGAGAACCCTTGGGGTTCCCCGGACCACACTTTGAGAATTGCTGCTGTAGGCCCTTGTGGGAATTTTGAACTTGGGTGGAAAGCAAGTGGAGCAGCATCTTGTGGTCCGGTCTTTTGACCGGAATCGAACCCGGGACCCTTGAGTCTGCAGGACGATGTTCTATCCACTGAGCCAAACCTGTCAGGCAGAGGCATGCGTCTCCATGGGAAATCGAACCGAACCTTCTGGCACTAGGGAGGACACCCCTCCCGCCGCGCCCCGCCGGCCTGGGCCCCCGCAGGGAGCCGCCAGGGCCCAGAAGCAGGCTCAGCGGGCCTCTCCCCGCAGGTGCACGCCTACATCATCAGCTACCTGAAGAAGGAGATGCCCTCCGTGTTCGGCAAGGACAACAAGAAGAAGCAGCTCATCCTCAAGCTGCCCGTCATCTTCGCCAAGATCCAGCTGGAGCACCACATCTCGCCGGGCGACTTCCCCGACTGCCAGAAGATGCAGGTGCGCGGCCGCCCAGGGAGGGGAGGGGAAGCTAATGGGACAGGCTCTCTCTGTATAAAACAGTGCTGTCCCATGTATGTTCTACGATGATGAAAATACTTTTAAAAAATATATATTTTATTGGCCGAGGCCGGTTTGGCTCAGTGGTAGAGCGTTGGTCTGTGGACTGAAAGGTCCCGGGTTCGATTCCGGTGGGGGGTGTGCAGGAGGCAGCTGGTCGATGTTTCTCTCTCATTGACGTTTCTGGCTCTCTGTCTCTCTCCCTTCCTCTCTGTAAAAAATCAATAAATTAAAAAATATATATTTTATTGATTTTTTCCAGAGAGGAGGGGAGAGGGATAGAGAATTAGAAGCATCGATCAGCTGCCTCCTGCACACCTCCTACTGGGGATGTGCCCGAAACCAAGGTACATGCCCTTGACTGGAATTGAACCTGGGACCCTTGAGTCCTCAGGCCTATGCTCTATCCAGTGAACCACACCAGTTAGGGCATGAAAGTGCTCTCTGCTGCCACCTCCAAAATGGCAACCACTAGCCACATCAGAACTGACCTTTTAGGTTTTATTTAACTCATTTACGGTTAAAGAATCACGTGACTGCTGCACCGAACAGCGTGAGTCTAATGTTGCACTGGTAACTCGTGCTAACATCCAGCTGGCCAGAACTTGGTCATGGCCTTGGCCAACCGCAAAGGATGCTGGGAAGTGGAGTGTTTCCTCCACGTGGCCAGGAACCGCGTAACATTCAGGGGTTCCAGCACTGATCTTGGGGGACGAGGGAGCGGCTCCTCACACGCCCAGGCCTGGGGTCAGCTGGTGCTGGGAGAGCCGTGGGTCCGGGTGGATGGGGAGGAGTGGGCAGGACAGGAGTGACCCAGTGAACGTGGAGACAGACCGAGTCCAGGTGCAGGCCTGGGGCGGGGAGGGACTGTGCCCAGGCTGAGCCCGCTCTGAGGGCTGAGATGTCTCCAGCCCCAGGCGGAGGAATCCTGGTGAGCTTCGTTTGCCTGGCCGCTGACCAGCTCGGTGAACGTGGGCAGGTGGCTTCGTTTCCCGAGCCTCAGTTTCTTCAACTGAAAAATGGGCTCCCTGACTGCAGTGTCTCCCCGTTGCAATAGGCACCTTGAGTTTGGCCTTGGCACTGCTGACATCCGGGGCCAGAGAACGGTCCCAGGACAGTTAGTGCCATCCCAGCCTCTACTCACCAGTAGTAGCCACACTCCCTCCCTTAACCCCCACCCCCCCCAGCTGTGACAGTCAAAAATATCTCCAGAGCTTGCCAACTGTGAAGTGCTGGGCTAAACAGCAGCTGCTAATATTGTTACAGTATTTTTAAAATATATTTTATTTATTTATTTTTTTTACAGAGAGGAAGGGAGAGAGATAGTTTGAAACATCGATCAGCTGCCTCCCGCACACCTCCTACTGGGGATGTGCCCGCGAGCAAGGTACATACCCTTAACCGGAATCGAACCTGGGACCCTTCAGTCGGAAGGCTGACGCTCTATCCACTGAGCCAAACCAATTAGGGCTACAGTATTTTTTACTTCACTCCTCACCCGAGGATATATTTATTGATTTGAGAGAGAGAGAGAGAGAACATTGATGTCAGGAACATCGGTCGGCTGCCTCCCGTACGTGCCCTGATCGGGGATCGAACCACAACCTTTTCTGGTGCACGGACGACGTTCCAACGGAGCCACCAGCTGGCGCTGCAGCTGTTAATATGACGCTGACATTTTTATCCAGATGGATTAATTTAGCCTTTTTCGCCCCGCCCCCACCAAGGAGGGCAGTGCTTGTTATTCCTGTTTTACGAAGGTGGAAACGGAGGCCCAGAGAGGCACATCCCTTGCCCGAGGACACACAGCCCCCAGGCGGCAGTGCTGGGTGGGCACCCCGCAGCCTGGCCTTAGAGTCCTGCTGCCCCTCCCACCCCCTGCAATTCACCATCACAACCTCATCTTTTTTTGGGGGGGGGAAATATTTTTATTGATTTCAGAGGGAGAGGGAGAGAGAGAGAAACATCAATGATGAGAATCACTGATTGGCTGCCTCCTGCACACCCCACACTGGGGATCAAGCCTGCAGGCCTGGCACGTGCCCTGACCGGGAATCAAACCTCGACCTCCTGGTTCATAGGTTGATGCTCAACCACTGAGCCACACAGGCCAGGCCCACACCCATCTCTTCATGGTCGCGATCAGTGGGTCTCTGCGCCTCGGCTTTGTACGTTCCTGTGCTGCCGCTGTCAGGGGTCAGTGTGTGTCTGACGCTGTGTCAGCGGCTTGGAGCCGCCTGAGGGAGGAGGGCGGCCTCAAACCCAGCCCGCAGCTGCTCCAGCCAAAGACTTCTCGGGGTTGGGAGTCCCCACGGTCTTGTAAAGGTCCCAAAGCAAACTCCCACGCTGGCAGCCAGCCCTTAGCCCTTCAGTATTGAGGTGACAGAGCGGCAGGAATTGCATTCTTTTTAAAAATATATATTTCTTTATTGATTTCAGAGAGGAAGAGAGGAGAGAGATAGAAACATCAATGATAAGAGAGAATCACTGATTGGCTGCCACCTTCCAACCCCCCCCACCGAGACCCAGGCATGTGCCCTTGGCTGGAATCGAATCTGGACCCTTCAGTCTGCTGGCCGACGCTCTATCCACTGAGCCAAGCCGGCTGGGGCAGGAATTGCATTCTTTAACTTGCATCATGGCGGGGTGCTGGCGGGGCAACTGGGGTGCCAAGGGGGCGGGCAGGGCCGAGAGCCGACTCTTGAGTGCCCTGGAGCTGCTGTCAAGATGTTGAAATCTTCCTCCGCCAGCCCGGCAGCCAGGCTGCTGCCTGAGTCACGGAGGTCCTCCGAGCCCCCTACTGTCCAGTGATCCCGGGGCCGCCCTGCACCGGGTTCAGCCTCCGGGACCCTGTTCCCGGCCCCTTCCGTGTGGTGGGTCCCGGGCGAATAGATACCCACACACGTCTGCACGCTGGGCCAGGAGCTGCTGCCTGGGCTGCTCAGGCGCCCCCGTGGTGCACCAAGGGGCTGGGGACCATGAGATGGTGCCCTCGACTTCTGGTGACCCCGACTTCTGGCGCCCCCGACTTCCGGTGCCCCTAACTTCTAGCGCCCCTGACTTCCAGTGCCCATGACTTCCAGCGCCCCTGACTTCCGGCGCCCCTGACTTCCAGCGCCTCTGACTTCCGGCGCCCCTGACTTCCGGTGCCCCTGAGTTCCGGCACCTCTGACTTCCAGTGCCCCTGACTTCCAGCGCCTCTGACTTCCGGTGCCCCTGACTTCCAGCACCCCTGACTTCCGGCGCCCCTGACTTCCAGCGCCTCTGACTTCCGGTGCCCCTGACTTCCAGCGCCTCTGACTTCCGGTGCCCCTGACTTCCAGCGCCTCTGACTTCCGGTGCCCCTGACTTCCAGCACCCCTGACTTCCGGTGCCCCTGACTTCCAGCACCCCTGACTTCCGGCGCCCCTGACTTCCGGTCCCCCCTTCCTCTCCCCCACAGGAGCTGCTGATGGCTCACGACTTCACCAAGTTCCACTCCCTGAAGCCGAAGCTGCTGGAGACGCTGGATGAGCTGCTGACGCACGACATCGCCAAGCTGATGCCGCTGCTGCGGCAGGAGGAGCTGGAGAGCACGGAGGTGGGCGTGCAGGGCGGCGCCTTCGAGGGCACCCACATGGGCCCGTTCGTGGAGCGCGGGCCCGACGAGGCGCTGGAGGACGGCGAGGAGGGCTCGGACGACGAGGCCGAGTGGGTGGTGACCAAGGACAAGTCCAAGTACGACGAGATCTTCTACAACCTGGCGCCGGCCGACGGCAAGCTGAGCGGCTCCAAGGCCAAGACCTGGATGGTGGGCACCAAGCTCCCCAACTCGGTGCTCGGCCGCATCTGGAAGCTGAGCGACGTCGACCGGGACGGCATGCTGGACGACGAGGAGTTCGCGCTGGCCAGCCACCTCATCGAGGCCAAGCTCGAGGGCCACGGGCTGCCCGCCAACCTGCCCCGGCGCCTCGTGCCGCCCTCCAAGCGGCGCCACAAGGGCTCCGCCGAGTGAGGTCCGCCCGCCCGCCCGCCCGCCGGCCCCGCCGCGGCTCCCCGGCTGCACGCACGCCCCTGCCCTGGCCACATGCACCCCGCCTGCCGCCTTCCCAGCCGAAAGGATGGGGGTCCCTCCACCCCCCACCGCCAGACAGAGGGACCAGGGGCGGGGGGAGACGTCTCTGCCCGCCCTTCGCACCTCCGCCCGCACGTACACTGAGGCACGCCGCGCCCACACTAACACACAGGCATCCACCCAGGCGTCCTTCTTGCAAGTATTTATTGAGCACCTACTACTTTCTGGGTTTGGGGCTCGTTCCAGGCACTGGGGATCCCGGCAGAGAGCCGAAGAGAGAGATTGGTGCCCTCCTGGAGCTGACATTCTCGGGAGGGAGCACTGCTCACACACAGACACACACCAGCCCGGACCAGGCCCGCCCCGCACTCTGGGCGGGACCCCTGGCCTCCCCCCATTAAAGAGCAGCCGCTAGGTTGAAATGACTAAATGACAGGCCTCCCTCTTGCCCATCCAGGCAAGGACCCCTGCCCCAGCCCCCCGCCCTCAGGCCTTAGGACCACTGGGGACTCCCAGGGGAGACACAACCTCCTACTTCCTCACATGGACCCCTCTTAGCCCTCCTTGAACTCCTCACACCCTACTTAGTAAGCATGTGTGTCCTCCCTCGCCTGGCCTGGATTGAAAACCCAGCCTGGCCCCCCTCCAGCCCCTCCCCCTACAGGCGATGGCCCGAACTTGAGCCCCTGGGCGCGCTGCCCACCGTCAGGTCATATTGAAGTGGCGCCCCTACCACACAGGAAAGACCCCAGGGCTTAACCTGAGTCCCCTTTTCAGGGATGTCTTGGGGGGACAGGCTCTTGGTGCTACAGCCGTCCCCCCTTCCCTAGAGGGACCTCACACACCCCCTTTCCTGCCATCGCCCCATATTAGTGCTTGACGCTGGTGGGGACCCCATGGAAAAGGCGGGGGAGATAAAAATAGTTGGGGTGATGCCCCCTCCGGGGTGCTGGCTGGGATTCCCACGCTCACCCCCACCCCCACCCCCAGGGGCCTGGGATGGGAACGGCGGCCCCTCAGCAATAAAGCCAAGGCTTCTCTCCAGAGTCCAGCTTTCTTGGGATGGGGAATGGGGGGTCGCCCTGCTCCCGACCCCTGGGGGCAGGTGGGGAGGGCGGGCAGGGCTGGCGAGGGGTCCCCCTCCCAGCTCTCCGGGGCGAGGGTGGAGGCCGTGACTCAACGCTGCGGAGCGTGATGACTCATCTGGGCTGGGGGCCAGAGCGACATATTTTCCAAAGAAAAGTTACTCTGGGGCCCTCCCTGCGGGACACCCCTCCCTCCGCCGCCCGCCGCGGGGGCCTGGGAACCGGGCCCTGGGCGCGGGGAGGTGACGGGCACAGCCTGCCCCGCCCGCCCGCACCCAGCCGCCGGGACAGGCGGGCTCCTGGGGGGCCGGGGAGGGGGGCGGTGCTCCCGCCGGGACCCCGTGTGCGCGCTCCCGCCCGGGACTCGGCCCGCGCTGGGCGGCGGACACACACGCCCAAGGCCACACCCACGGCGCCCGGGAGGCGGCTCCCCGGCGCCCCCTGGCGGCCACTCGGGGCGGGGCGGGGGCCGCGAGCCCAGTCCCCCCGCCGGGGTGGCGGGTGGGCGCCCGCGGTCCCAGGACCCCGGCTCCTCCCCTCCCGGCGCCTCTGCCTCCTTTCCGAGCCCGGAGCCGCCTTCGCGAGGCCCCGGGCCCCCGGGATGGGCGCCAGCGCCCGCGCTTCCTTCCTTATTTGTAAACAGTTGAGACTTAGCGGGAGTCCGAGACGAAGCGCAGGGCTGGGCTAACGTTTAGCCCAGGTGACCAGACGTCCCGAATTTTTTTTTTTTTTTAACACTTTGTTCCGCGTCCCGGGGCGTTTTAAAAAAGTCCCGATTTTTTAAAAATCGAGACTTTTTTTAAAACGCCGCGGGACAAATTGTGAAACATCAGGACGTCTGGTCACAGTTTAGAGGCATGATCGCAAGCGCTTCGCAGGAATGTATGACCTAGTTTATTCTTCAGGGTGGACCGTCAGCACCCCTATTTTGCAGACGGGGAAACTGAGGCAGAGCCGCGCGGTGGACGCCCAGGGTGTGCGCCTGCGCAGCGCGGACAGCGTGGTCCTAACACGCCCCGGCGCATGCGCATTCCTGTGCTTCCGGCCTCCACGGTCCGAAGGCTCCCGAGTTTCCAGGATTCCAGGCTTGGGACGCGGTGGACCGGCCAGGCGTTCCGAGATTGGAACGTGCCTTGATCGCTCCGAATCTGCCAGTAATGGTCCCGACTTTCCTTTTCTAAAACGACTATTTAAAAAAAATAATAATCATACTCAGATGTAAAAATATTCCCGGGCGTCTGGGAATGATGTTTGGTTGGGGCGAGAGCCAAGTGCCTAAAACCCGCGGTGGACTGGAATTCGGAGAAAAGGGAGGAGCCGTTTACCCTTTCTCAAGATGGCTGCCTCCCTGCCCCTCGGCTCCGCCCATTCCCTTTACCAAGATGGCGGCCGCCGACGAGCGTCTCCCCCGGAAGTGGGCGGGAGATCTGCGCGCGCATGCCCCACACCGGATTTCCGGTGCTGGCAGCTGACGTCTTCCTTTAACAAGATGGCGGCGGGGAGCAGTGGCGGTGATGGCAAGCTCCGCTCGAAAAGCGAGGCCGGAACCGGCTTCCTGGGGCTGCGGCCCACTTCGGTGGACCCAGCGCTGAGGCGGCGGCGGCGCGGCCCGAGGAATAAGAAGCGGGGCTGGCGGCGGCTCGCGGAGGAGCCGCTGGGGCTGGAAGTCGATCAATTTCTAGAGGACGTGCGGCTGCAGGAGCGCACGAGCGGGTGCGTGGGGCGGGACTTCCGGCTGGTGGGCCCCGTTCTGTAGGGTCCGGGAGGCCGAGCGAGCGGGGGTGGGGGGACGCCGGGGGCGTCTGTGCTGGGGTCCCTGGGTGGGCAGCTGAGGGGCTTGGTCAGGTTACCAGGTACGGGACACCCAGTTAGGTTAGAATCTAGGGACACCTGTTCTGTAATTTTCTAGAGTTCCTATGACCCATGTACCCAGCTTGGCGTAGTGGACTTTCTAAGTATTGCGTCCTGTAAACAGCCTGGGAAAGCCTTACCCACCCCAACAAGACGATGCTTGAATGAGCATAAGCGGAAGCTGGGCTCTCCCGGCGATGCGAAACCTACTCCTCCCGCAGCGCCTTGCTCCCTCCCGGACACCTGGGGCTGACATTCTTTATTTTTATTATTGTGGCTGACATTCTGTGTTTCCATCTCTCAGTGGCTTGGTTTCGGAGGCCCCCGATGATAAACTCTTCTTCGTGGATACTGGCCCCAAGGACAGAGGTGAGGAAGGGCTTTGTGGCCTGGCTAGGCGATGATTGGTGGTGTCTAGCTCACCTCAGCCTCTTGAGAGTCTGCGCGGATGACACGGCTTGGATGGCAGACACTTCCTAAAAGGGGCTTCGCTGTAAACCGGAGGGTTTGGAGTGGGCTGGGGTCGCGCACCTCCGACAGGAGGCCATGATGTATCAAAAAAGACTTATTCCCGGCACCTGGGAGCAGGGGCGCTGAGCCCGAGAAAGGCATCAGCGAAGAGAGCAGAGAGAGAGGTTTTTATCACTCCTTGCTGCCTGCGGGCCACTCTGCTGATGTCAGGGTCCGGTCCGTCCTTGGTTCCTCCCATGCCGGCTGCCTTCTGGTTACCTGAGCTGTGCTGTGCCCAGCGCTGCAAGCTTTTTAAGACGTTTGCCGCGCACGGTAAGTCTTTCTCTGCCCCGTTTTGTTCTCTTTAACCCTTTCATAAACAAGAGGGCCTGGGATGAGCAGAAAGCAGGCCAGGCCCTAACGTACAGGAGTCGGGTTTCCTTGTTGAGGTATCGGATCTCAGTGCGCAGAAAAGCCAGCCAGGGGTCTGTCTCGATGAGTAGATGAGACGTAAAATAGCAGGGCTCGTCAGTTTGCCGAAAAGCAAGTCAAGGACCTGCAGTGAGGGAATCAGACCCGTTTTAGTTAATAAAACGTGCTTTAATAAGTAGAGGGCCCACTGGAAGGAGTAGGTGAGAAACTGGTCTCAACCCGCCGGTTATAATTTGCTGGAATGCAGGGCTGGGAGGTGCTGAGACTGGGAGTGAGTGAAGCACCTGGAAACCGACCGGGAACAGGCACCTGCTGTGACGGGGGACAGAGCAGGCGAAGGGGTCTGCCTCATGGGAACGCTGACAGCCGCTGGAGCACGTGGCAAGCGGCTTTAGCAGCAGGACACCCTTCCCGGCCATGGAGACCAGTCAAGGGACCATTCTCACCAAAGCGAGCGGACCCAGGTCTGTCAGGGAGGGGCCGGGCCGCCGGCAGGCAGAGACCTTCAGCGAGGGCAGGCGGCTGCTGACGAGGTGGTTTCACAAGAGGGCCCTGGGCTCCGGCAGGGCAGCCAGGACCTGCCCCGGGGCCAGTGAGGAAGCAGGGAAGGCTGTGCCCGTGGGCAGGAGGGGCAGGAGGGGCGTGTGTAGGTTCTGCTTTAGGTGAAAAAGGGGGCAGAGGTGGCCGTGGCTGCAAGCTCACGGGCTGTCACGCTTGACACCCACACTGCCTTTCGAGGTCGGTGTTAACTCATCTGGGAGCAGAGGAGCAAGGTCATTTCCTCTCGGTCCCATGGTGGCCGGGAGGGAACGGGTTTTGTCCTGGAGCTCTTCTCACTGAGGTTTTAGAAGTAAAAGGCAGTTGTGCTGAGAATCGGCCTGTCGGGTCCCAAGCCCAGCTCTCTGGCCTCGTCACCTGGCCCCCTGGCCCCCTGCTCCCTTCCTGTTGGCCTTACTGGTTCTGTGGCCGTGGCCCCGCCGGAAGTCCCTTGTGTGTGGGGCTGACTCCCTCTGGCCCAGCACATGGCTGGTCCAGCTGGCCCGGGGAGTGCGTGTGGTGGGGGGGGCATAGCCTTGGGGGCGTCCTGAGTCAGCCTGGGGCCCCCACATCTGCTGGGACGCAGGTCCCCTGGAACAGCAGTGTGGAGGGTGAGGAGCTGGTCTGGGGCCAGGCGGAGGCCCAGGCCTTGATTCCTCTCCTTCCTCCACTCCCAGCGCCCGACAGGAAGAGGACCAAAGGCCAGAAGAGGCCCCTGCCCCTCAAGAAGCCCCTGCGGGTGGACCTGGTGCTGGAGAACACGTCCAAGATCCCCGCCCCCAAGGACATCCTTGCCCACCAGGTCCCCAACGCCAAGAAGCTCAGGCGGAAGGAGCAGCTATGGGAGCGGCTGGCCAAGCAGGGCGAGCTGCCCCGGGCGGTGCGCAGGGCGCAGGCCCGGCTCCACAGCCCTCCCGCGGCCAAGGCCAGCGCCCCCCAGGACACGGCGGAGCGGCCCTTCTACGACCTCTGGGCCTCAGACAGTGAGTGCGCCGTCACCTGCGGGCTCTCCACCCGCCTCTGCAGGGTCTGCCTCCCGGAGCCCGCCAGCTGCTCTTTGCCTGGCTTTCAGGCCCCTCGGGGTCTGAGAGCATCTCTTCCCTCTCCCCGGCTTCGGGGCCATCTGTGAAGGGGGGGGCGGAGGGGTCATGGCGGCTCCCCACACGGCCAGCCCCCAGCACCTCTGCCTCCGCAGACCCGCTGGAGCGGCCGCTGGCCGGCCAGGACCCCTTCTTCCTGGAGCAGACCAAGAGGAAAGGCGTGAAGGTGAGGCTGCGCCCCCGAGTGGCGTCCGGGCGTCAGGGGCAAGGGCTGCGGAGGGGGCACGGCCCTGCATTGGGGCCGGGAGCTCGGGGCGCAGAGCCCGTCCTGAGCCACACGCCTGGCTGGTCGCCGCGCAGGGGGAGAGCCGGTGCTTCAGGGAAGCCCTTGCCGCAGAGAAGATGGTGCTGAGGGTTAGGCGCCTGGGGAGCCTCCAGGCCAGGCCCCCAGCAGGGAGGAGGGCCGCACTGTGAGTCTCGGCAGGCACTGCTGCAGGGTCAGTGACAGGCCGCGGAGACTGAGAGCCAC